TTAAATTTTTTAATGGTGTTCATAAATAAGTGTGGAAATAAATGAATTATTACTTATGATTGCAGGTATTTATCCCTGTTTTGGAACGTCGTCATTGGCTTCTCGTCCAACTTCAGCTCCCATCCCTGAAGATAATAGTGTATGACAGCATGATAAATTACATATCACTGTCTGATTTGAGAGATATGATCAAGGGATGGAGCTCTCATTTGGCTAAATTCTTGGATGGGATTAATTATTGGACTCATTCTGGACACAAGAAGCCAAAGAAGTTCAATGTCACAGTTGTCAGAGACGAGACCGCGCCACAACAATCGCCGGGAGCCAGAGGGGATTGTGGTCCTCTCGTATGCTTGTGCTTGGCGCGTTTGACAACGGGAAGCACAGAGTTTCTACCTCCCACCGATAGAGATAGAGCTGCAGTAGGCTTGTGGTTTCGGCATTATATGGCTAGAGAAATATATTCAAGACGCTGCCTACCTGCATCCGCCTTATGAAAGTGTCCATTGTTAATTGGTAAGTCAAATGCAAGTTTTGTTAACATATATACTCCTTTTGGTTTGAAAATGTTTGGTTAAGTACCTAGAATTCAATAATTTGCTGTTTGTAGGTTTTAGATGTGTAGGAAGTCTTGTTTGAGCAAATGTTTGGTTTCTGTAGGTTAATCCTTAAGTGAGCTGCGTGAAATGGATGTACGGGGTCACAAAGTTGTTGATTCATTGATTCAATTATTTATGAAGAAATAAGAATTATTATTATTTTTTGATTGTTTAATTGATTTGTAAAAGATGATTTGTAAATGTTGATTTGTTTAATTGATGTGTACATAATTCTTATTTGTGCTTGTTTAATTGATTGAAATGTAATAGTTGATTTGTTGATTTTCAATCTGCATTATGTTGAAGGCAAAACAGACTATCGCAACACGAAACTGACTATCGTAACGAGAGAATCGCAATGCGAAATGAAAATCGCAACGAGAAAATCGCAATGCGATTTTCATTTCGCATTGCGATTTTCTCGTTGCGATAGCCATTTTCGCGTTGCGATAGTCAAATGAATGTCTAACACCATGAACATTCTCCCATGGCCCTCTAAAACACAAATCTATCTAAACATGATCAACATTAGATGATTTAATGGTTGTAAATTAATTTACTAAACAAACGAGCTGCGAAACTAAGACATGTTGCCGGATGGGGAAGGATGTAGGAACGGATATAGGAACGGATGTCGCCAGAGAGAGTGAAAGATGGAGATGGAATGAGTTGTGATTTAGGGATTTAGGTTATGAGTTGTTGCTGCTGCGTAGATATATACCCAAAAAATTTGTGTTGCGAAACTAAAACCTGTTGCGAACTTTGAAAATCGCATTGCGATTCTGTATTATCTCGTTACGAAAGTTAGAATCGCGTTGCGAAAGTCAGTATCGCGTTGCGAAAGTCAGTATCGCGTTGCGATTTTGTATTATCGCGTTGCGATAGTCAGTATCGCATTGCGATTTTCCCCAATTCGCGTTGCGATTTACTTATTCGCATTGCGAATTGGGAAAATCGCAACGACACTGTAGACCATCGCAACGCGATTTCAAACTATCGCAACGCGAAATGCAATGCGAATTTGCGATAATGGAGATCGCGTTGCGAATTAGCGATCGCATTGCGATTTTGTTGGTCATTTTGGCAAATCCGAAAAAAAGTTGGTTAAAATCGTATATTATAAGGCATTTTTGGTCACTGAGGCGATTTTCTCTTTATTTAATGCCTACATATACCCATATTTAGAATGTAACAAAAAATAAAAAGTGAAAGAATTTACAAACTAATTTATTCATAAGCATAAATAAATGAGTCGATAAACGAGTTTGTTCATAAACATAACGAACATAATACATTTATGTTCGTGTTCATTCATTTATTAAATGAACGTAAAAAGAATTTCATACTCATTTATTTAACTTAAAAAACAAACATAAATAAACGCTACACGGACGGTTCACGAACCGTTCACATAACACTATGTTCATTTACACCCCTAGTCGAGGATTTGGTTTTTCTCAAAATCTATATAAAAAAAACCAAGTCAAAGTTAATTCTCTAATGCTACGATCTCTTCGGAAGATCATCTAGTGAAGTTTGTTATAAAATATATTGTCCGTTAAGATCCCTAATGATTCAAAGGTACTCGCATTTCGGGTCACCTATACCCAGTTCATATATATTTTTTATTTTTAAAATATTTAAAAAAAATCACATAGAAAATAAATAAGAATTTAAAAAGTTCATAATACACAATCCATACACAAAAATGAGTGATTTGAACTTAGTTTTAAGGGTTAATATTTGGATATATATATATATATATATATATATATATATTAAAGTTTATTTCCAAAAGAAAACATTAAAAATATTAATATTGATCGTGATTTTTTCCTTCGAATCTCATATTAACAAATTAATAAAAATGGTTTTAAAATTTTTAAAATTTAAAAGTACATGATACAAACCCAAGAAAAATTTTGGGATCTAAATTTAATTTTAAGGTAAAATATTAAGGAATCTAAAATAAAAATATAATTTAAACTTTATATATGTATATATTAAACTTATTAGGTTGGGTACCCGGTTATAAAAAATTTTGGCCTAGACCCAGTCCAATTACTCGAGAAAAATCACAGGTTGAATACCCGGCTGGTCGAGTAATTTTTCTATAAAATTTCCAGATTTTTTAGGTTCAGGTCGACGGGTCGAGTATTTTTTAACACCTCTACATAATATAATAACGTTTATAACGTTAAGTACCTGGATGACTCAAAAAAATGTTGGGGCACCTATTTGAAAAATATAGGTTTGTACACTTATTTTATAATTAAGCCTTTGAGAAAAGCGTTGAATGAATTTGAAAACATTAATGCTATAATTACAAGTTTTTGTAGTTAAATGATTAAAACGAAAATACAGTGAACGTTTAATGACTAATGAGTGTAGTTTAGCCTTAAAAACAAATCACAAATTTAAATCCTCGTTAATTCATGATGAAAAGGCGCGTGTGTTGCACCTAATAGGCGCGTAATCTCTGCCAGTTTCTAACACGTGGTGGGTCTCTAGGGCGGGTAAGGAATCATTTCGAGGTTGCTTATATTTTCTCCCACTTTTCCTGGCATGACTTGTTTGGCTTTACCAGAATAATGCTTTTGTTTTGAGCTTATAAAAGGTAAAAGATAAAATAAATATATAAAAATAAGTTTCAAATTTAAACTTCAATGTTAAAGAGCTTTATTTTCTAATATTATTTGAAAAAAAGTTATAAAGTATAAAAAGAAAAAGAAATATATTCGAAATTTTGATTTAAAAGAGTTAAAGATTCAAATTTAAATTAAATTAATATTGTATATAACATTTTATACAATTTTGTGGTAAAACGTAATTAATATTTAATTGAAGAGAAAAGGACTTAAAATGTGTAGTGATTATTATTAAAACATAGTTTTAAATAAATAATTAGTGGGTTTTGTAAGACGATATCTTAAATCTCTTGAGTAAGGTTCGAAGTTTAAATTCTGACATTATGAATAAAATAAACATAATTAAGAGGATCATCACAATCATGAGCAACAATATTTGATTCGAATTAATTAGTTAAAAAAAATCAAATATCGATGGTTAAAAATAATTAATTTCAAATTATTGGGAATTTATTATAATTTCATTATCAAATTAAAAAATATTTTCAAGTAAGGCTACTAAACAAAATTTTTGATATAAAATATTGTTTAAAAGCATATGGGATAAAGTACACATTTAATACATAAACTATTAGTTTTAATATGTTTTAGTACATAAACTTTCAATTTTTCAAAACCATATGTAACGTTTATTTTTTGTTTCATTTTAGTACCCGTTATTAAAAACTTAACGTGTTTAGTATATAAACTATCAGTTTTGGTCTATTTTAGTACCTAAACTTCTAAATTTTTTTTCAAAAATTAACGTTAATTTTGTAACAAGTTACTAAAATGAAACAAAAATTAAAGTCTTTAATGACGGGATACTAAAATGAAACAAAAAATATACTTTAGGTATGGTTTTGAAAAAATTGAAAGTTTATGTACTAAAATGGAATAAAAGTAATAGTTTAGATACTAAACTTGTAGTTTACCCTAAAATTTATAATTTTGTTTATTAAAATAATTATATTTTAGGAAAAGGTCAAAGTATTGTTTTATTATGGGAAATATCTCTTACACCCCTCTCATTTTCAAAACATAGCAAATTGGTCCTTCTGGAAAAGAGAAGCAATCAAATCCCTATCAATTTGAAACAAGGCAATTAAGGACAATTGATACCGATGATAATATTTTCCATTAATTTTACATAATTTTTATTGGAATAAGAACAAATTTAGCCCTCAATGTTTATACATTATGTTAGATTAGTCCTAATTTTAAGATTTTCAATAAATTTAAGTGTCAACGTTTATAGAATGTGTAAATTATGTTTTGATTTTTTAAAAATAAAGGTCAAATTGACATAATGTGTGAATGTTGAGGGCTAATTTTTTTTAATATGTTAATCAAACCTATATAAATTTGATGGAAAACATTGAAGTCATGATTAGTTGTCCTTAATTGCTTAGTTTAGAAATTATTATTATTATTTCAATAGTTAGTTTGAAGATTATCAGTTTTTGATTAGATAGTTCGGAAAATAATTTGATAAATTTGAGGTGAATACAAGATAATATTTGTTCAAAGACTTTAAATCATTTAATAATGAACATCTACATACGCGATACTCAAACTCGGGACCTCAAGAGATAACATTAAATCCCTTAGCAAAGACTAAATAGCTCCTTTTTTAGAGGGATAAATTTGCCTATTTTGGAATTATGAGGGACCTAAGAGGTAATTTATATAAGAAACAAAGAAAAAACTAAAAAGTTCAAAAATAATTTGGCAATTAAACAATGACGGTTCCAAACACAGTCTATTTCTCTCTCTTCTTAAAACACATTTAATACTAAAAACTCTACGGTTCTTCACTTTCTCTCTCTAAAGCTTTGATTTTATTTTCTTCCCGTTTTCTCTCTCCAAATGAAGCTGACGGACGGAAACACCACTTCTTCCGCCGTCAAATTTCACTTCTTCAAATGACGAAAGTATTATTCCCTCTCCTTTTCACCGTCAGTTACCTTGCTGTTATCTCATTCCCGCCGTTAACTCATGCTTTGGGCTCCGGCTTGACGCTCGCCGTGGTCCACGGAACAGCCACCGTATGCGCCATCGTAGCCAACGAACCGACTCAACGCATTATCTGCTACCGTGCCAGCGAAACCAACACCTCCAACTCAGTCGCCGCCGTCAGAATCCTCCCGAACGTTTCATTCTCCACCGTCGCTGGTGGTCGAACCAACGTTTGCGCCCTCCGTTCAGGCGGTTACAGCCTCCTCTGCTGGGAAACGAACACCCCGAATTACCCAGTTAAACGCCTCTACGTTAACACCACAGTTTTCCTACAATCCCTCTCCATTGGCGACGAAAGGATTTGTGCAACCACGACGAATGCTCTGCAACCCGTCGCCTGTTGGAGACCCGACGGAAGCAACGACGGAGAGTTTCCCGATCGTAACTACACAATTGGTAAAATCACTTCCGGGACTGGGTTCACTTGCGGGATTGTACTGAGTGAAAACAACCGAGTTACTTGTTGGGGAAGTAACACAGTATCGAAAGCCATCGAAACGCAATTTGGGAACATGTCAATGGCCAGCATCGAAGCAGGGGCTTCCCATGTTTGTGGGGTGACCTCAGTTGGCGAGTTAGTTTGTAAAGGAAACAACTCGACGGGTCAACTCAATGTTCCATTAAACAAAGGTTTAAGCTTTGCTTCAGGGTTAGCTCTTGGTGATGGGTTTAGCTGTGGGATTCGAAGATCGAACGGCACCGTTGTTTGTTGGGGTTCCATGAATGAGCCCTCCATTGAAGAAATCAAGTTCGAATCCATTGTTGCAGGCTTGAATTTCACTTGTGGATTAACAACGATGAATTTATCTATTGTTTGTTGGGGTCCAGGGTGGCCTAGGAAAAATGGATTCAATTCGAATTCTTCTTTAGAGTTACCTTTAATGGCGGATATTTTACCAGGGCCCTGTATTCAATCTCCTTGCTATGAGTGTGGTTTATATCCTCAGTCAAATAGGCTTTGTTCTGGTTCTGGTAACATTTGTAAACCCTGTCTTAACTTTACGGCACCGTCACCGGTGGCCCCACCGCGGGACATTTCAAGGCGGACGTGTTCATCTCAGGAGCTGAGAAGAGGGTTATTGGCTTTTGCCATAGTTGGATCACTTGGAGCTTTCATGGGGATTTACAGTGTTATTTATTGTTCATGGACTGGTGTTTGCTTAGGGAAGAAGAAAGTGCATAACTCGGTTCAGCCAATGATCACTGGAGTGGGTTCAAATGGCGGTCCTGGATCGAACAACAGTTCTCCTTTGAGATTGTTGACAATCAGACGGCAGAGTTCGAGAGCCATGATACGTCAACGAAGTGGAACGTCGTCGATACATGCTGATAAAGCCGAGGAATTCAGCTTGGCCGAGCTCGCTGCTGCGACCAAGGGTTTCTCGTTGGAAAACAGGATAGGTGCAGGGAGCTTCGGGGTTGTTTTCAAGGGGAAACTATCGGACGGCCGTGAAGTGGCGATCAAACGAGGCGATACCGGTTCGAAAACGAAGAAATACCAAGAGAAAGAGGCTGCATTCGAATCCGAATTGGCCTTCTTATCCAGGCTTCATCACAAGCATTTGGTTAGGCTCGTTGGATACTGTGAAGAAATGGATGAAAGGCTTTTAGTTTATGAATACATGAAGAATGGTGCACTTTATGATCATTTACACGACAACAGCAACGTCGAGAAAGCCAGTAGTTTACTAAATTCCTGGAAAATGCGGATCAGAATCGCGTTGGATGCGGCTCGAGGGCTCGAATATCTGCACAACTATGCAGTTCCACCTATCATTCATAGGGACATAAAGTCTTCCAACATATTGCTTGATTTGAATTGGACAGCAAGGGTTTCGGATTTCGGACTTTCGATGATGGGGCCGGAATCCACCCTAGATTACAGGCCAATGAAAGCAGCGGGTACGGTCGGTTACATCGATCCCGAATACTACGGCCTGAATGTATTAACAACAAAGAGCGATGTATATGGACTCGGAGTCGTAATGCTTGAGCTTTTAACAGGGAGAAGGGCCATATTCAAGAACAGTTGCGAAAACGGAGGGACCCCAATGAGCCTGGTCGATTTCGCGGTACCTGCTATTATCGGCGGTGAAATGGTTACGGTGTTGGACCCAAGGGTCGGACCACCCGAGCTTAACGAAGCCGAATCAGTGGAGCTTATGGCCTATACCGCAATGCATTGTGTGAACTTGGAAGGCAAAGATAGACCTACGATTGGTGATATTGTTTCAAACTTGGAGAGAGCTTTGAATGCCTGTGATGGCAGTATCTCTAGCGGCGCTTTCTCCATCGGTTCGGAGTAAATTCTCCGCGGCTTCTCGGTTTTCTCGAATAGCCCATGTTTAACGCTCGTGTCGGACACGTTTTCCGATCGTCCGACACTCGGACACACTCGGACCGAGTCCGAGTAAACCCTTTTTTCATCTTCTCATTGATCATTTTAGATTGTAAAAAACAAAAATGGATTTTGGGTGTTGTCTGAGAGCTGTAGCTTAGAGATTTGTTGCCATTGTCCTCTGCTATTCTTTTGTCCATTATTTCTGGGAAATGGTTGAAAAGTTGGCCGTTTAGGTTCATTTCGCTTCACACCAAGCAGCAAAATGAGACCAAATTGACAAAGACAACAAAGATGTGGACCTGAACGTACGTACCTTTTTATCTTGTGCTTTTGGAATCTTTCTTAAGTTTTTCTTCACTTCAATTTCATTGCCCAAAAAAAATATTTCAAAATTCTGTAACCTTCAACACAACTATATGATAAAAATTTTATCTGATATTTTATATGAAAATATCAGCCATTCTAAGAAAGATACGTTATTTATGAGATTAATAATATATATTTATTGTCAACATAATAAAAAATGTTTGGAATAAACTTTTAGGGTTTTTGGTTTAATACAATTAGGCCTAGTTAGGGATGGGCATGAGACCCAAACTCGATGGGTTTCGATCCAATCCGACTCGATCCGATAATGTTTTTTTGGGGGAAAAAAATTGGTTTCGGGTCGGTTGGATTTTTTTAAAAGTGATATTCGGGTCGAGTCGGGTTCGGGTTTAGGGTGAAAAATACCCGACTTGACCTGACCCGAAACAATATACAATTTTACCTTATATATTTAGGAATAAGTACAATAATACCTCTATATATATTATTTGTTTTCCAATTAAGTCACTGTTTTTATTGAATAAAAATAATATATATTTTTTTATTTCAGATCGGGTAGGATTTTTAAGTTATATATCGGGTCGGGTCGGGTCGGGTGAAATCTTGTTTTGGTCGGGTCGGATCGGATTTTGGGTGGAGGATTTTTTGTTCTTGGGTTGGGTCGGGTTGATCAAAAACCCGACCCAACTGGTCCCATGCCCATCCCTGGCCCTAGTTGCTATCTTCATCCCTACACGTTACGGCCAAGATTCAGGGTTTCTTTTTCATGTTATTTGGTGGTATGATTTTTCAATAATTGAATTGGTTGTTACATTAAACACCAAATTATTAATATTTAAAATATAAACTATAATGCAATAAAATGTTGGTTTAATTATGAATTCCATCCTTATACTTTACATAAATTGAAACATTGATCTATTTACTTTAATTTATTAAAATCCAGTTCACATATTTTCTATTAAAAACTTAGATACTACTCCGATTGGATAACACTCTTAGACATTGTCATTAAATCATAGACCTATAAGTTAATTTGTTTAACAATTTATATGCAAGAAAATAAGAAAAGTTTACAAATAAATGGTTTAAATGAAACAAATTAAAAAAAGTCAACAGTCCAGGTTATGTGTTTACCAATAATTTGACAAACCTTTTAGTTTTCATGAAGTGCAAGAACTAAATTATGAGAAATTAAAGTAGATGGATTAACTTCTCAATGTTTTGTGAAATAAGAGGACGAAATTCAGAATTTCACCAAAAAATGTGTAATACTGCAAATTAATGAGCCATTAATTACTCAGACTCAGTGGATAGAACGGTGCCCCACTATTAATTTAAAAGCTGTTGTTTTTGCATGCCAGAGTTAATAAGCTGAGAATTAAAAGAACAAAATTTAATGGAATTAAATGTTGTGGCGCATGCCGGTGAGATAAAGGTGGTGGTGGTGGTGGTGGTTGTGGTGGCCCGTTGGCCGGTGGTTTCAACCACCTCTTTCCTTTGGCTAAATTTGGAAGCACGCCTAAGTTGAACCGGTTTCTAAACTGGGTTGGAGTTCAAAGTTTTTAAGATGAAAATTGGTTTATTTAGATTCAAGTTTGTTTAATATAATGGAAATTAATTTAATTTTTCTACTTAATTTTAAATTTCAATATTTATTATTGAAATTGAGTGTAAGTTCAAATTATTTTTTTTATAACTAATTTAAATATGAGTCTAATGATATTCTTATTCTCAATTTAGAATAATCATTTTAATTTTCAATTTTTTATTTATTTTGACTCTTTAATTTTGATCAATTAAATTCATCGACTAAAATTAACGAAATTTTTAATTACTTTTAACGATTTGAAAAAAAATTAGGACTTTAAACATTTTAAAAAGAGTTTGAGGCCTAAACATGTCATTAGACAGAAAATAGTATACTACAAAATTGTTTGAATTAAATATTTTTTAATAACCTAGGGGAGTATAAGATACTCCCTTTGTTCTATTAAAATTGTCCGTTTTGTATTTTAGAATTATCTCACTTAAATTGTCCATTTGAAAAAATCGACAAATTTTATTAAACACATTTTCCTTTTTATCTCGTTTTTTGATTTTCCAACATAATAAAGTTTAACTTTTTTAGGATAAAATTATCATTTTATATTTTTTACGACAATCTATTACGTAATTGTTTTCTTCTTAAAATTATATAAAAAGTCAACAATGGACAATAAAAATGGGACGAATGGAGTAGTATTTATTCAGAACTTTTTTAAATCTATTATCACACACACTACTCAAACTCAATACCTTTAAAGATAATAGTATTCCGTTTTATGACCGAGATCGCTTGATGAATTAGTTTAAATCAAATATTAAGATACTTGATCAATGATACAACTGATCTCGAATAAAATATAAGTATTATGATAAATTATGTGTTTATTATCTAAATTATCAATTTTAATTTATTTTAATACATAAACTTTCTATTTTTTTTCAAAATCATACTCAACATTTAGTTTTTATTTGTTTTAAAACCTCACCGTTAAAAACTTAACGACATTACATTTTTTATGGCTAAGTTACATCATTCATTCATCATCTATCTTCTCACTCCTAATTTGGTACTAAAGTTTAAAACTTTTCAATTTAACTACTCAACTTTCAAATTGCTATTATTTTAATCAATCTAATTTATTTTATTAATAAGTTTTGTGACATGATTTTTTTAATATATAATTAAAAATAAAAAAAAATAAATTTGAAAGTTAGAGTGATTAAATTAGAAGTAATTTGAAAGTTAAGTATTAAATTAAAAAAAATAAACTTTAGTGACCAAAATAAGAGTGAGAAGATAATAGAGTGATGAATAATATAATTTATCCATAAAATGATCTAAAACGGAAAAAAAAATGTTAAATATGATTTTGAAAAATCGAGAATTTAAATACTAAAACGAGTCAAAAATGATAATTTAAGTACTAAACACATGCCATATGTATTTGTGTTTAATAGATCTGACTAAAATTGTCTTTAAAATTTTATCCAAAACAGTTATTTTTAAAATTCCACAATCGAAATTAGAGAGGAAGCAATTCATTAGAAAAAAAAAACAGAAAAATAATTGTGTTTAATAGAACTTTTGTATAAAAAATAATTCGATCACAAACGATAAATTAAAAGAAAATCCAGAAAACTCTCACCCCCCTTCTCGTTTATAGATGGATATGGCGAGCGACCATATTCTTAACCTATTAGGAAGAAAGAATGTGTTAACAAGAAACCCTAAATTTGATTACCTCTTCAGTTAATGTAACAAAAATTCAATCGAGAAGTCCGGAAACATCGATGTCTTCTTTCGGTTCGTTCGAGTCTCGAGAAACCATCGTAAATGGATATGTTGTTACCCTAATGAGAGCCGGTGAAGTCGAGAGATATCAGATTGGTGGACGTCTTTGTTTTGCTCGTTGCAGTTCGATTTCATTCATCCAATCCGAGAGCCTCAACAGAACTTTGAAACCGTAATATGCTATGGCAATCAGAGCCGCTATGATGATGATAAACAACAGCACACGCTTGATGGTGGCAACAAATTTCTGTTGGAAATAGTAAATAAGAATTGAAGTTTTTAAGCAAAGAAAAGTGACTAGAAATGCTTATTCAGCTTGTGAAAGAGAACAACATACCTGAAGTCTTGAAACTTGCTCGCCCTCTCGTATCCGGTCACGCCTTTTTCTGCGCTTTGGCCCTTGCTTTTCGGTTTCTGGCTCTTTTTTCTTTGATAAATCATGCAATCATACGGAAATATAAGCATACATGCAAGGAAGTTTATAGCATGCATGCCAACAAATATGAAAGGTTGTAAATTTTGATTAATAGGAATACATAAACAACAAATTCGAGACCCCCATGTTTGGCCAACCAGCTAATTTTGTGAAAACCGAGGATAAATCTCCGAAATTTGAGGACTTTTTTGTGGGTGGATTGCCAGTAATTTAGGGAAGGTTGGCATCAGGTCCTAGCATCCATAATAATATCATAACATGTAACAAGATCATATAGGCTAAATTTCTTGAGATAACAATGCCTCCGCAATGGCAATTATCTCAGCAACATATTACTCGATAAAAGGAACGGGGAAATGTGAGTTTCACAAATGCAAATGAAGAATTCCTTGTTACTATATAACCAGGCTGCCTATCATGTTATAGGTGATTACAGAAAGATGTTTGAATCAATATGTATGCAATCCATCTTGTTTTCGAATAAGCATTAACCGGTATGCTCAAGCAGATGAATAATGAAACAAGAGTTGAATAATTCTAACCCAATTTAAAAGATCTTACCTCCAGAACCTTAGGTTTCCGCAATTGTAGAGCTGACTCAACCTCCTGTACTTTCCTCTTACAATCCGAATTGCAAGGCAGAAGTCCGAGTCCAAACTGATTCTTCGGTTTATCTTTGGGATCATGACCAATATCACGATATGCAGCCTGAACATCTTGGCATATCCATTCCTTCTTCAAGGTTTGGCATTTACAACGAACAGTAACCTGACACATAGAAGATGGAGATCAAATAAGAAGTTGGTAACACCTTAAATTGTGATTGTGAACTCTCTCGTATAATATTTCTAAAAATGAAGGGAAATAATCCGACAAATTTTCTGAGATACAGAAATTTTCTAACTTATCAGTGATAGTCGATTAAATGAAATGTATTACCTTTTTGCTGCACTTATCAGGGGTTGGGCATTTATCAACATGGCATATTTCAGGGCATAAATGCGTACAGTTGGGAAGCTTTCTGCAGCACAAGTTTCCAAAGTTTTAGTATATATCTCAATTATAACAAGACAACGGAAAACAATCCAAGAATTGAAAAAGAAATCACAGCAGAGATAGCAAGAATATATCTATA